TATTGAGCTTACTTCCATTTCGAGTGAAAGCATTTGGTGAAGATATTCGAAGGCCGATTCGGCCAGAAGACGACGGCGGATTCCTCTTGACTAGCTGTCGATTGGCTTTACTGGAACAATTATGCTGACGCTATTTCCGAGGTGATTTCCTTCGATTTTGGTGAAAAGATGCTAAGCTTTCGTGCGTCATATGACGGACATCATCAAAGCGAGGTATCATCGTCATAACAAAATTCATGCTAACGAGTCAAGTAAACTCACCGGCGAATCCCTAAAATGGGGTATATATACTCTACATTTGGCCTGTTTGATCAATTATAAAGTGATTTGATTAGTTACGGTCATATGTCAACCTCGAAGCCTGTGAGTGTGTCCGTCTCTGTATGCGTATGTGCCTGTTCGTGTTCGCTTATGCACGAAACCCGCATTGATGGCTCAAAGTAATTAGAACAGCAAAAGTAACGTCTGTTCTTGGACCATCGAGGTTTGATGACCACTATCTCCCCCTTTCTACATACATGTTATAACCATCACTCCGATTGCACAAGGTTATTCAAAGTGGTTGCTAGATTGGATAAAAATAAGAAAGCATTAAGAACATTAGCGGGCTCAGAAATTCATAAAAGAGATTATATGCAAAGAAAGGTTGGGTTTCGAGGAATCTGTTGTTTCATAATTGTTGGGCTTACTTCCATTTTAAGTGACAGTGTTTGATAAAGACATTCGAAGGTCGATTTGGCGAGAAGACGAGGTGAGATTGCTGGCTCTGCCATGCTCTTGCAGTAAATCAATCTAGCTCCGTATCCGGACATTCCAGTCCTTACAGCATTCGAAAGGTTTCCTTCATTTCAGTCACGTTTTCTCATCTCTTTGCTTCCTCCTATTGTGTTGCCTGCCTTTAAATACACAGAAATTGAGGTTTTCTGTCAGTTGTCCGTGACGTTGCTAGCTGCCATAGCTTTTTCTGCCCACAACTAAGGTGTAGGCACGTTGTTACTGCATTTGATGTCAGCAGATTTCGGATAATGTATGTCCATCTAAATCGCCCTGACAACTTGGCAAAATTGCGAAAACTCGATCTAACCACTTCTATACAGCCTATGGCGACTGCGACCAGAAAAAAGATGCCATCCCAACTTTATCTTCACGACTTTTAAAAGTTAAAGTTTTCTTGTCCACGCACCCCAGACTTTCATTTATATTCAGGCTTAACTGTATCTACAACTTCGCCCTTTCATCGGGGACCCTAGCGGGATCCGAACCATGCAAATGTGGGTTGAATGGGATCACACACAATAGCCTTTCAGCAACATGATCCTAGTTCCGTTGTGTTACACGACAGGCTTGACTTAAAGCGAGTTTCATCATTTTGTCTGTGATCAAGTAATTTATAAGCGACCTTTATTTACCTTAGTCTGTTTTTTGTTTATAGTCAGGTCTTCGAGATTAACAGTAGATCAGATATATGAGATGTAATCACCCTATTTCGTCAAAGGCAGTTGGATTTTCCCACAATTATGTAAGTAGATGAACATACTTTTTGGGAAATAAAGACTGTGAAATTTAATGGAAACGTAAGGTCTACTCATTTCATTGTAGGAAAATTCGACTTCCAGCCACCTTATCATCTTAGACGAAATGAGGTGAATACATTTCATACCCTTAGCTGATTGACTACTGATTACGAGAATTAGTAGTAAACCTTCAGGAAACCAGTGAAACGATTATGCTTTCCTTTATTACTCCTTGTTTTTGGCTGATGCAATTGGACCTATTTGTTTTTTCCTTTTTAGATTCTACAACATTGTCGAATCTGCAAGCTGAGTCAGCACCTTGGAACAGCGGCAATCTTCTTAGTGTTCCTGCCTATCGCAGCCACTATGGCGAAGGTGGTGGCCCAGAAGTCGAAGATCTGGAAGAGGAGGACTGGGAGGATGAAGAAGATCCTGATGGGTCCCATTCATCCCTTTCATCGAACTACTTGATACTGCCGAAAGGTGAGAATTCACTGCAGACTCGGGGCGAATTTCAGCCAACCGTCCACTAAATGCTCACCCAACAGAGGCCTCATTC